TACCTGTGTGCAACAAGACTTTGAAGCAGGGATATAACACAATGAAAATTTTCTCCTTTACTAAAGGGACTAGTTTGAGAGCAGAGACTAGCAGCAGATAACTAGCAGAGGGCTAGGTCAGTAATGAAGTTGTCTGGAGAGGAAACGTGGCTGAGCCACAGTGCAGGGCAGCTCAGAGGAATGTGAACGATCACTCAGTGGAGCTTCCCTCAAAGGAAGGTTCTCCCACTAATTGACACACAGAAAACTGCCTGTCCTTAACCAAAGATGATGTGGGACTTGACTTCAAATGTGCTCTGTAGAGAGCTGTAGGACTCAGGTAAAGGTATTTCAGACAATGATGGACCAGTGCTATGTGAAGTTCAGAGGGTAAGCATATAAGCGATAGCCAAAGACCAGGCATACAGACAGTGGTGTCTCCTCCTCCTCCTAAGAGGAGGAATTTTCCCAAGATAAAGAAATGCAGATTAGGAGTATTTTCAGGCTTTTGGTTACAACTTTAAACTTGGGTTTTTTTTTAAATAATAGGATTGAATATTAATATACTTTCATATTGTGCTATGGAGGAGAGAGCCCAGTGTGGAAAGAATACTCCATTACTCAGTTCCATGACGACTGCATCTCTCTGAACTCAGAACACAGTGGACGGTTTCTCAATCAATCCACAAAGCTGTGGGTTAGGAAGGTCCTTAAATTCTCGTTTTTCTCTTGGACAGCTGCAATCACCATATTCCTCCTCCTCTCTTTAACCTGTGTGCTATCATAGTCTCCTCTCATTCCTTGACTTTTGGTCTCTTCTTCATAGTTCCTACAAAATCATTCTAACATTCAATTAGACATCCATGCTTCTTTGTAACCTTCCTATTGTACCTTCTCAGTTGCCTAACTTCCCACAACTTTTCTGTTGCATTTATGGCTCCCTCACTGTAAATAAATCAACTGGTGTGCAAGGTCTGATGGGTGGTTGAAAGAACAGCCTTGAATAGACTTGTGTTTAATCACCTCGTTGACCTTTGGCCTGAGGTTTAATCTCTTTGATCCCTGACATAGTTTTGGTGTTGAATGTCCTCCAATGTGTCAAAGGCTTGCCCCCTAAAGTGGCACTACTGTGCAGTAAAACAATCTTTAGAAGGTGGGGTCTATGGGAGGAAGTTAGGTCACTGGGATTGTGCCCTTATAGAGGACCGTGAAAACTCAGCCCCTTCCCCTTCCTGTTTTGCTGCTTAGGCATAAGGTGAGCACTTTGGTGTGCCACACACTCCCCTTTATCCATTTGACACCCCACCTCAGCCTAAAAGCAATGAATGTGCCAGAATGTGGACTAGAATCTATAAAACTGTGAGCCAAAATAAACCTGTCAGTTATCTCAGGTTATCTTGTTGTAGTGTCAGAAGGCTAACTAACATAGTCCTATATTCCTCATCTACACAAAGAAAATTCTAATACTTTCTCTGGAGGGCAAGTGCAAACTATAGACGAGGCATGTGCCACCTCTAGATCAGTGCTCACGGAGCTTGCCTTTCACAGTCCATGGGCTCAGATGAGTCCTACCCTTCTTGTCCAGCAATCTGTGTAAGGAAACCAGTGGCTATACCTGACCATGACCTGCCTCATATCCTTACAGCCATTAAGAACAACTATACATACACACACAGTAATACAGGATTTGTCTTTCTTTCAATTAAATTTTTTACATATGCCAGATCACTTAGCTTGTACTTTAGCAATTTTAATCAGTAGTTCTTGAACTTTGTAATAAATGTATGTTGAACCCTCAAACTCTCGAACTTTTTCATGTGTTAAATCCTCAAACTTGAAGTTATACTTTTTGTCTGAGTATTGAAGTATTTTCTTTTAGAGCAGGGACTGTCCCTCTATCTTTACAGAAGCCTATACAATCCAGATGATTGAAGAGAGTAAGACATCTATAATTCTAGCTGCTTTCCCCAGAAAATTCCCTTTCCTCTCCCTCTTCTTGATAAAAACGTAGCAAGCAGACCTGACTGATCAGACTGCCCAGCAGGTCTCATTACCATGGCCGACTTTCCCTGGTTTCCAGGGAGACCTTGCTCAAGGTCAGCTGAGATAGCCCAGGAGGAGCTCTACCTGACCAAGCTGGGGAACCTGAGCTCTGAGTCATCCTCTTGGCAAGGAGCTGATCTGGGAAGAGGCAAAAGCCAGAGTGGCTGGCATGAAAGGAAGATGAGTCATGGGGCAAGGCACAAACCACTTGTTATGGAGGAAACATGGAATAGGAAAAAAAAAAAAAAGAGGTGTTTTGGAGGAAAACTAACATGTATTTTTGGTCAGGATCATTTAACATTAAAAAAAAGTGCAAAGGATTATTTCTGCTCCCAGCAATTTCTCAAGCATCTAGCACTTACAATGTAAAAGAACAAAAGTCTATCCCAAAAAAGTTTTGAAAATGGATACTTTAAAGAAGAAATTGACTCTATCAGTTACAATTACTCAAGTTTGATTAACATAACAAGAAACTAAAACCAAAGAGAACCTTACTTCCTGAAATTGCAACCATGTGAATGAAGCACTGAAATTGGTAGTTGTATACCAATTTCAAAATGACTTACATACACATGTCAGGAAGTTTCATGTTCTAGGATAATTAAGCTCAAAAAAATTTGACCAAAAGAACACTCAAGATCATTTTACTCCATGCTTTCATTGTCCTTTTTACTTTCTTTCAACAAGAGGCCACTTAAAGACCCAGTCTGTACTCTAAAAACAACATACTCTGAAGTGTACTATGAAGAGTAGTGAAAAATGTTAATAATGTCAGTACATGTGTATCTTTAAGGGTGCTCATCTGTAATGTAAGAGTCTAGAAAAAATTAACTTTAAATGCAAAAATAACCTGAAAGATTTGGATAAGAGAATATCTATGCTTTTTATAATCATCTTTAGAGTACTATCAATAAAGTTTCCATATCATTTATGAAAAACTGTTATAAAAACAAAGCAATTTGCACACATAGACCTGCTATTATGTGAGAATTAAACAGAGTTAAGATTTAGTGCTTACAGCCCATCTGATATTGTATTATTGAACCACATGACTTCTAATCTTCCTGACACAGGCTCTAGCTAAATAATAAATACTAATAAAATTCAAAACACTTACTTGCACCTATGAAGGTAACTGATTTATCTCTAGACAGAAAGGAGAGACCCTCCACTCCTCCTGTGCCCATGTTGAACTGGGCACCTCCCATTGCTCTATCTTGTTGCTTCCCAATAGCATCCCTACTGGCTTACTGTTATTCTCGTTTGGCATATGGAAAACAGGCTCAAAGAAGTAAAGCAACCAAACCCAGTCCATCTGTATGGTTAGTAAGTGGCAGAAATGAGGATGTATTCAGATCTACTCAGCCACCCAGATCTACTCAGCTCCCCAGTTCTTTCCTGTTCACTAGAGCTACAAATTCAACTGCTGTCAGCAGCTACCTGGTGAGCAGAAACAACATGCAGCCATGAGTGAGGGAGGAGAAGTGATGGGATCATAAGAGATACCAACATATCATGGTTTGCACCAACTATCTCAGACTTAGCACTGGAAGTCTTATGTCCTCAGAAAATTCTCAGCTGTGGGCACACAGGGGTAGCAAGCTCCCTAGAAAGATGAAGAATGGAGAATGCAGGCCCTGTTGGACAGCAGTTCCCATTAAACCTATCTGTGATCATGGGCAATACTATAACTTCAGTTCTACTGAGGCTGCAGATGAAAGATGTTAAGTTCCTTCTAGGAACAGGAGCCCCAGGTCTTCATATTAGAACTTCTTGTATTAGTGATAAGAAGGTTAAGTACAATGGTAATAAGAGTGATGGATTTCAGGGTATAACACTGACTTTTTCTTTAATCCCTCCCTTTCTACAGATTGCAGAATTCTACCTGGTACAGGTTGATTCTTACTTTTTAGCCTAAGTTAGAGTGTGAGGTTCTCAGAGAGTGGTTACATCCACTAACAATATTCTGCACAGTGCAATAAAAATAAATTATGAAATGCATGATGTATTATACAAGCAATGGTATATTCCACATGGATGTTAGAAAGAAGGTTGGAAGAAGATTGTCCATCAAATAGAAGCATGAAGTCACTTGGAATGTGGTCAGAGGATAAGACTGTCCTTGTGAGGGTTAGTGTTTACCACTCCTCCTCTCAGAGCAGGTATGAGTCAACTAGAAAGCAACTAGTTGCTATTTTCCTAAGCTTTCCCAACCTCATCATTATATGGTATTGAGCTCTTGGTCACTCCATAAAAAGGGAAGCATCTGTCTCATTTACTTCCTCAGTTCCTCCATGGGACAATGGGCGTGGCCATATGAACAGACCTGGACAGGGTATTTGTGGGCTCTCCATCTGCCTGTGGAAAGCAGAAAGGAATTCCAGGAGTAATTGGCCATGTAGAAAATCACCATGCAACCAGGTCCACAGGCCTGGAGGACTTGTATCACTGTCTGGCCTTGTCGGTCTCAGTCTCTTGGGTGGTATTCAGGTCCTGCTCTCCCAACTGCACCTCCCTTGGTAGCCATCAACAAGATTTCTCCCCTGAAGCTCCTGGTGCCCTCACTGCTGTCCTCACCCCTCTACCTGATTTCCCAACCACAGACAGTATACTTCCCATTCAGATACAAGGATGTTCATTTTTCAGTTGTCTTCAAATGTATGCACATAAAAAAAGTCTACTTAATACCGGGAGGTTAACAACAAACACTACATAGTATTTAACAAACTATAACTACTGGCACATATGCAAATGGATATCTTGAAAACTCTTAGAAAAAGTAAGTCCATCACTGTACTTTGATCCTTGTAGGGACCTAAAGTTGGGACCTCTTCTTATTGTATTTTTGTGGGCTTTTCTTTTGCCAGATAGTGTTATAGCTGAAACCTCAGGCTCTTTATCCTAATATAGTAATGACACAGGTTTTCAGAGAGAATCAGTGTCTTCCAGAATGGATCAAAGTGAAACAATACACTTACCTAAGAAGGGAATGAGTATTTTATGGATGGTAGGCAGAGGTCATGGAAAGTCTTCCTTTCTTAAAAGTGCTCTCTACAGCAGGAAATAGCTAAAGAACACAGGAAAAGAAGATTATTATTTTTTTTTAATTTGGCAAAAATAAGCAGCCTATTAAATACATTTAGCAACAGAAATGATAATTCCTTTAAAACTGGCCAATATGCTTTTTAAAAAATAGATAGTAGACATGTCATTAAACCCAAATGCATTCACTTTTAAATATTTCACTTAGAAAGGAAGAATTTTGCTCACTTAAACGCTTTTTACCTTGTTTTGTTTTTAAAGATGTTCAAGCATAAGTAATAATTACATGGAAACAAGAATGTAGCCAGGATCAGAAATACAAAAGATGTATGTTTTCTTCCCTCATATGGGGAAGATAGATCCAAAAATAAACATATATACAAAAACAAGCATGATCATATACAAACTCAAATGTAGAACATGTTTGTAACAATGCAACTACTCTATGGAACTTGGGGGAAAGAGGGAAAGGAAAACAGCATGACAGAGCATCAGTAATATAGCAAACTAAAAGATATGAAGGTAGAGGATATAAGGATGTGTACCAAAAACTGTTGAAAAACTAGGGGAGGGAGGTAAAGGCGTAAGGGAGAGAATTTGAAGGGACTGAACGACCAAAGTAAAGCTCACCTACAGAGGGCATACATTGAGACACCTCTTTGAAAGTCAACATAAACATTAATAACGAAAATCAGGACTGTAAAGAAGGCACAGTGTGTATGTGGGGGGGTACTACTGGGAAGGGGGAGGGTGAAGGAAGGAGATTAAGGTGACAGTATATGGTTGACGGACTTCAAATACCTATATGAAACAGGACTAAATAACCTCTTGCAATTGCTTTAAGTGGGGTGGGGAGGGGGCTAACAGGGAGAGATGTTGGGGGCAATGTAAATAATGTACAACATACATCTAATTGGACTTGTCACTATGGATCCCCCCTGTATAGTGAATATTTCCTAATAAAAATTATAAAAAAAAAAGAAGAATGTAACATTGAATTGTGAGCAGTCACATAAATAACATTTCATACAATGTAACCTCATTTCTGGAATTTTGATAGAGAGTTAGAATTTCAGAAGGCCTTAATGCCAATCTAGAACCCACTCTCCATCTACAGAGTAAAAAAACTGATGGCCTTCTCAAGGCGAGAAGCTGGGTGAGCACCAATCAGCTGCCTAGGGAAGACATTTTGACTGTCAGGGCAGCAGTGTGCACTCATAGACCATTCATTCATGAGGTACTGACTGTGCATTTTCTACAAACCAAGTACTGTTGTTACAAACTCTAGTAGTGAAGACAAAAATAATCTCTGGCCTGGTGGAATTCACATTCCGGAGAAGAGAGATTTACTGGTAGTTAAGATTTAGTGTAGTTTGTTAACGTTAAAATGAACTCCCCACAAATTTGGAAAGATTCAAAAGAGAGCTAAATGAAAAAGTATAAGAAGTTTTCTAAATTTTTAGAATTATTTCCTAAATGTGTAAGAAAAGCAAATGCCTTAATCATGGCAAGGTGAAATGCAAGTGTTTATGATCCAAGTCCAAATTTTATAAGCTTGTCTTTAGTGAGCATATAGAAAAATAAATGACCTAACAGTCTACAAGCATCCAAGAGCAAATTTCTAGCAATGAAAACAGATCCAAAAGTAATCACTAAATGACTTAGAGTACAACAGTAATCAAAGTGTTTTGTGATTCCTCTAATATGCATTTCTAAATTACTGGATACATTTAAAAAATTTGAGTTCCATATGATGTATATCTGTTAAAATAAAAATATTTCTAGGTACCAATCTAGCATACTTCTGAGAAGAGTTAGTAGGGGAAGAAAATAAGTATTTTACTTTTATTATATACTTGAAATAAGATGACTGGTGACAGTTCAAAATATGCAACAGATCTATGGCCACAGAAGCTCAGGATGTGACATTAACAGCAGTGGATGTGGTGTCAAGACAGCAAAACACAGTAAACTCTGAGCCAGGCCCCATTTCTCTTTTCCTGAACCCTCCCTTGGCAACACAGCCTTTTCTAATAAACCTGCTGCCCTCATGTTGGTATCACCAAACCAAGTGCTTACATCTATTCCTTACACCCCTAGCATTATTTGCTTTCTCCCTTAGTAGCTATCCACAGAAAAGGCCTGTGCCTCTCATCTCAATAAAGCTTAGTACAGAATCTAGCTCATGGCAGGTACCAATGATTGCAGAATAAAACAATGAAACAAACAAAAAATATTACACTTAGATAAGGGGCATAATGTCTCTAAATATTTTTTCAACCAGGCAACTTTAGGAGGGTAAGCCCTGAAATATCCACCAATTGCTAATGGCAGATCTCTATTAAGATCACAGATACCAAGTGTTCCGCCACAAAGCCACCTACAGGTATAGCCCTATGTCCCACAACCTGTATTCCCACTGCTCTCCCTTTTTAACAGTATGTTGCAGACCTTGTTCAGCCATGATGCTTTGTGGCACATCATATTTTGCATGGAACGACTTTCATTTTAAAACTGGTTATCATTTCTTCTGCTGTATGTCATTATAAACCCATAGGAGAAAAAAGGAAGTATCACATAGCAAAAAGTGTTTTAATTCTTAAATTATTGTTTGTTTATGATCACAGTGATAGGTCTATTTCTGATTGGCCAGAAATGTCATCTTCACAGTAAAGAGCTTTGAAATTAGAAGGAAAAGGAACAAAACTTTTAAGTGTCCAAGAATTTATTTTTATTTTATTGTCTCAGGAACAAATTGTTCTCCTTAATGTATTAAGAAATAAAATTAAATGTGGTGCATCTGAAGAGTTTTAAAAAATGCATTATTTTGGTTACTTTGCAAAAACATCGGTAACACTTATTTAGTCCTATTATAAAAATACCTCTTTAGTATATGCTACAAGGCCCCTGGGGATGTCATATAGTTCAGGATATATGGATGTCAATGCAGCGAACAATACACATGTACATTTACATTTAAATTTTTAAGAAGTTCCTTCTTAGAAATTCTTTAAGACATAGCCTTGGAGAATGGCTGTCACTGAGAACTACTTCTCCACTCTTCATGACATGAAACTCCAGGGGCTCTGCTCATAAGGGGCTATGCAATGTTTATGTCTATCCAGTGCTTTTGCATCAGATAAGAGAAAGGACAACAATAATTTACTTTTAACACAGTCTACTTCTTAGGCACTAGGGAATGCTTTAGGAAATTAAGGGAGAAAGAAGATATTATGGAATTGCATCAATTTATCCTTCCCAAAACAAGTGACCAAGCCTAAGTGTTATCAGGCAAAAAGGCTTTTGTCCATGTCCACAGTAGGGAGAACAGCAAAGAATGACAGAGTGAAACAGTAGAGGTGTCTGGAGTTGTGAAGAAAAGCAAAACCATTCCAGCTGGAACTACGCTCTTGGCCGCAGATATGCACCTAGAGTATGCACCGTCTGCACTGGGAGAGATTTGGTTTGTATCCAGGGAGTGGAATATGAAGTAGCATAACTGTTCTTTTCATTTCGCCACCAAAGGTGTCTAAGAGTCAAAAACATCACCAACTGCCTCAAATCAGAGACACACTGTATTGCTACCAGAGGCTACCAAACTTTCTTATTATACACTGGACTGCATTACAATGCATGGGAAACTTTATAAATTCCTATTTTCCCCAAACTATTATTTGAGTAAACTCTGACAGTGGATGAGTTATTACCTTCGAGGATGGATGAGGGGGAATGTGGAGTGGGGGGATGAGGCACAGTTAGTAATCTGAAGTTTTCCACTGCCTAAGAATAAACTGAACCCCTTCAACTAAGATAGCTCTAGAATGAGCAAAATACATAATGTGAATTTTAATGTTTGATTTTTCAGCAGCAGAGAAATCATTCCTTTTAGAGATTAGCAGAATTCTCCGCTGATAGCAGACGCATGGTGGCAGCCAGCCAGCCGTGTGACTGGTGACTCAGTGCACAAGTTTCTGTGGGCTCCAGTCTGATACAGAAAGGATATCAGTTTTTAAGTTTGAGATCTAATGGAAGCAGGGGCTCCCTGAGCATAAAACAGAGCTGTACAGAGGAAGTGCCCTGTAAAGCAAAAGCCCACATTGAATTTATGGGGGGTTTTGAACCTCAGCCTTGTTCATGTTCACAATTTTTCATTCAGAATGTTTCACGTCTATTACAGAATTTTAGGTGCTTTATTTTTTTATTTGAAAAATAAATCAGGTAATGATGAATAAAAAAAAATGTTGGCAGACAGCAGTCAAAGTGGCAAAAACCCCACCTTCCTGCCTTGACAATTCAGCTGCAAAAGCAGCATCAATACTAAACAAAACCAGGAGTCAAACATTTCTCCAGTACACAAGAATATATGCTACATATGATTTTGGAAGAATGGGATATGTTAACATTTTGTATATTAAAAAGCCTTCATGAAGACTACAAAAGGTGAGACAAAGAAACCATCCAAAATGAAGGCTGCACACATCTTTGAAGAAACAATAGCTCATTACTTTTCCTGCTAAGATCCAGTATTGAATCAAGAGTATTGTGGACTTGTCATAATTAAAATGTTGCACTAAATTCTGCTTGACCACTCATTATTCAAAAGAGTCTAGACTCAATGCAAACAAAGTGGTTCGGGTCCTGAAACACACCACAAAGACACCTAAATGGATGCAACACCGGGCTTTCCAAAACAGAAGCGAACCAATAAGAATCACTCCCAAGCACATGCACCCTTGAATCCAGGTAAAAACAACGTTCCTTCCTGAAGAGGGGAGGTGTTTACCAGGCAAGCAGTCTCCTGGAGAATACATTTTAGTATGGAATACTGGAGTACACACAGCATCAACAAAGCAAGATCAAATTAAACAGATGACATGATGAACACACTTCCTTTCATGCATGACCGTGCTTCTCATAAGAAATAAAGACTTAAGTAATTACCACAAACTGAGACTCCTTTGCTGACTTCCTCCCGCAGCTGGATGTCCTTAACCACCAATGCTTTACAACAAAGAACAACGCTTGCTCTTCCCTATCTTAGTCCTTTAACATTACCAGCCAAGCACCTCGCCGTTGCAAGAACACA